GTGACACATGCGCTGGTGACTTCCCGCCTAGACTTCTGTAACGCGCTTTACGTGGGGCTTCCGCTGAAGACGGTCCGAACACTTCAATTGGTGCAAAATAGAGCTGCCAGGTTGCTGACGGGGATGGGGCGTTATGCTCACATGACTCCAGTCCTCCGTCAACTTCACTGGCTTCCCATTGAAGCCCGGGCCCAATTCAAGGTGTTGGTTAGGACCTATAAAGCCCTAAACGGCTTGGGTCCTGGCTACCTGAACGAGCGCTTACGTCCGTATATGCCCGACTGCCCCTTGAGATCTGCGGGAGAGTCCCTTCTCTGGGAACCCTCCATGAAAGAAATTAGGAGAGTAAGTACTTGGAGGAGGGCTTTCTCTGCAGTGGCACCCAACCTATGGAATTCACTCCCCAAAGAGGTCCGCCTGGCACCATCGTTACTGGTTTTTCGGCGCCAGGTAAAGACCTTTTTATTTAAACATCATTTTAATTGTTAAAATATATGATCTGGCCAGGGCAACTTCCTCTTCCTTCTCTTTCCTCCTCCTATATTCTTTATTTACTTATTTTATACTGTTAATTTTAATTTTATATTATTGTATCTCAGTGTATTTTTTGTATTTTTGTATTTATCGGTAATTTATTATGTTCTATTGTATTTCAATGTATCTTATTGTGTTGTAAGCCACCCCGAGGCTTCAGCAAGGGGCGGCATAGAAATGTTATAATAATAATAAATAATAATAATAATAATCTCCCTGGGGCCATGGGCTCTATTGTCCTACTGCTCCAACCCTCAGGAAATTTTTCTGGATATCTAGCCGGAATCGGGCTTCCTGCAACTTGAGCCTGTCACTCCATGTCCTACACACAGGACTGATCAAGAAGAAATCTGGCCTTCCTTTCTGTGGCTGCCTTTCAAGGGCTTGCAGAGTGCTATCACATCATCCCCCGTTTTCTCTTCTCGAGGCTAAGCATGCCCAGCTCCTTCCACCTCTCTTCATAGGTCTTCGTTTCCAGACCCTGGATCAGCCTCACTGTTGTCCCCTGAACCCCTCCAGTCTGCCTGAAATGGCCAATAGGAGGTAAAGGATGGGGGAAGAGCAGCAACTCTTCTCCAGGTCTTAATCAATTGATCTATTTACTCTCTGTCTCTACTGCCCAGAGTCAAAGCTGTCAGGGCAGTTCACAGAAGTAAAAACTCAAAAAAAAAAATAGTACAATCAAATAGCAAAAGTGGAAAAAGATGGTTCCAGAGCAGGATCCCTAACCCTCTCCAAGGATGTACTCCCACAGAAGAAAGCTCCCATGAAGGGTGGGACAACCCCTTGACAGCACTACAATATGGATTATGCATCAGTTCCATTCATATTGGACCTGCCCTTGAGTCAAGACACCAGACGTGGGGAAGACAGACAAAGCATTAAAATGCAGGCATGTGAGAGGCAGAGATCAGAGAAGTTCACTTATTTGAGAATTTCTAGATTGCTAGACTGCTCACTCCCCAATGAGCTCAAGCAGCAACAGCAGCACTGAACAGTTCGAAGCATGACAAACATTTCTGCTGTGATTCTACAGGAAGTTAAAAGCAAAACGGGAAGTTAAATTTAAACTTTCAGCATTACTGAAACCAGCTCACTTAGCAGCTTTTTACTGTGTTGACAAAAGAACCGCCTGGATTCCATCTTGATAATGCGCCCTTTCGTAATGGCTGTTTCTTCCTTGCATGGGGAAATACAAACTTTTGCAACACAGACTGTGTCTACAAGCACTTCTCAGGACATGCCTCTCTCCAGAAATTCTTTGGAAGGCTGGGCGGGGGCAGATGAAAGGAATACTCCCAGTGGAAGGAGCTTTTAAAACCAAGTGTGTAACATGAGTGCATTTTATAATGCAAGCCTCAGTGACGGAAATACAAATTAATGATCAAAGCCCAACAGCTATGAATTATTTACAACGCACAGCTACCTGAAAACTGCCAAAGGAAAGACAAGAAGTAAAAACAAAAACAGACACCTACCAGGAGGAACAGAAATGTGTTTTGTCACTGTACACGATGAACGTTTACCCTATTTGCAGAATCAAGCCAACTCCCTGACACTCAATTGTAAAGACACACAAGGCTTAGAAGAGGGTTTAGCGGGAGGGGAAGAGATGCCCCCCTTTTTTCCTTCCAAGTCGACCTTCTGCACTTTTAACAACTACCTAACCTGAGTGAGGGTGAGTGGGTGGGTAGGTGCCTATTTCCCCAAATAAGCAGAAACTGAGCTGGCGAAATAAACCCTTCACACAACCACTTATTCTCCACCCCAAGGCCAGCTTCGCTACCTAAATGTCTGCCTGCTGTGTGAAGATTAATGGTGCAGAGTTAGGGTTAGGGATGGTACTAATCCAAGCACTTACGGAAAAGAGGAGACCGAGTCCCCCCACCCCCCGCCCATACAACAGCCAGAAAGGAACAGACCTAGCTTTCCTCTTCCCTGCCAGGCAAAAAACTTCTAAGACCTTTGGAACAAAGAATTTTTCCTCCTCCTTCCCAATCCTTTTCTGTTGTGTCTTTTTGGCTGTTAGTTTGTAGGCTGGAAAGTAACTAACAAACAAACTATGCCTGTTCTATGCAAGGGGTAATCCAACTGTCCCCAGGCAGTGTCTGAAGATAGTTACAATTGCCAGAGCAGAGGCTGGAGGCAATGCTCCAAAACTCCAGCTGCCTTCCTGGTCAAAAAAGCAGCCTCAGAAGGGGGGGGGGGGGGGGAGGGGGTGTTTTGGGGAGACATGGAGAGAAAGTTGCTGGCCAGGATACAAGACAATGGCTTTGCACCCTCTTTCCCACACAGCTAGATGGACCTCCATCACCCCTCCATTCTGCATTAGGTGCTTATCTACCCCAGCCCCCCTAGTTTAAAGGTTTATGGCCACTGCCATTGCACTGCACCCTGAGCATGCAAGAAAATGTTGTAAATATAGAAATTTTTAAAAAGCTCTCAAGAACAGAATGCAGAACTGAATGTTGCCACGTGCACAATTCTGGCAGTTTGCAAAAGCTGCGTGGAGAGCAGGTGTGAGAAAGAGTGGGGTGGATCCCAGCCACCTGATGAGCTGAAAGCTCCCCACCTGGGCTACGGGAGAATTAGCTAGCTTTGAATAGGAGAACGTGCAGCTGTGTATCCGCTTATTGCATTTTCTCTAGTTAGCTCTATATTTCATTCCATCCTCCTTTTTTCCTCCCTATCCTATTCTTCCTTCGAACAACCCTGCAAACTAAAAGGTTCATCTAAAAGCCAGAACTGTCCCAAAGGTACCCAGTGTACTTTAGGCTCTTGGAAGCAGGGAAGAGCCAAACTTAAATTAAACTTCAGAGAGAAAATAGAAATATTTCTTCAGCGTCTTAATATTCATAAGGCGCCTGCTTGGATATTCAGAAGCCGCTATGAATATGAAATCTTCAGTGAACAACATACAAGACACCCTCCCCCTAAAACCATCGCCCTTTTTTCTCCTCGGCCTTCCCAATTTATCTGCAGAACGGGGTCGCTCACAACGGGCTCCTACTGACTCCTTCCTATTTATGAGAACTACACCGCCCCGTCCTTACTATTTATAAGAGCCCGCCCCCTCATTGATATTCAAGAGAGCCCCGCCCCCTCATTGATATTCAAGAGAGCCCCGCCCCCTCGGCCCCCTAGTGCGGCTCCTCCTCCTCACTTGGCAGGGACGGTCCCTCGGGCCCGGAGGCTCCCACGACGGTCGGCTTCCCTCAGCGCCGCCTCATGAGCCGCACAGCCGCAGCCGCAGCAGCGCCCGCGCCGCCGCCCTCAGCCTCCGAGCGGCCCCTCGTCGCGCCACCGCCCCGCAGGCCGCTCGGGCGTCCAGCCAATAGGGGCGCCAGTTTTCCCGCAGAGGCGGGCTCCCGCGTTTGCGTCACGGCTCCGGCCTTCTATGGCAAAGGCGGAGAGCGGGGACGGGAAGAATGGCTGTGATGACGCCATTTCCGGTAAAACAAGGGCTTTCTCTAGAGGCCGCTGTTCTCCATGGGCGACCCGGAAGCTGGCAACTCTGGGCCTCATCTCTATGCTGGAAGCACCGCGCATCAGTGGTATTGGGAGCGGCTCGACGCTCAAAGCGGAAGTCATGGCAGTCACGTGGGCGGTGGGCGCTCGACACTTTTCTCCTCTGTGCGCTGCGCTCCCCGACGATCGTCCTCGCGCTCGCGGCCCGCCCACCTTGTCAGCGCAGCCAATGGGCCGGGGAGGCGGCGCCGCCGAGGCCGCGGGTTCGATTCCCGCGTGCGCGCCCGGGGCAGCGCGGTCCGGATCGTGTCCCCGGAGGAGCGGAGGCGGGCGAGGGGCAAGCCGTGCGCGAGCGCTCCGGGCGGCGGGACTTGCTCCCAGGGTGGAGCGGCAGCCCCTGCGGCGAACGGAGCGCGCCCCGGCCCCGGCTCTGCCCGCCTCTGCGGGATCAAGCCGTTCCCACGTGCGGCAGACGCCTCGGGGATGCGGCCCGGCGGGCGAAAGCGGGGAAGGGTCACGGGGGGCCCGCCAGACCCGGCCGGACACCGGCGTCCCTTGTCCCTGAGCGTCGCAAAGGTTGCCTCCCTCCCCGCTGTCGCTTCCGACGAACGACTTCCCGTAAAGGGCCAGGGCGACTTGATTTATACTGTTAATTTATATTATTTTAACGGAGTTTGTTTATGTTTGTGAGCCGCCCCGAGGCTTCGGCGAATGGGGCGGCATAGAAATTTCCTAAATAAAATTAAATAAATAAATAAATAAATAAATACAGCCATCGAGAATCGTGCCTTCAGCAGCCCT